TGGCTACTTTACAACACACACAGGGACCATGGGGAACAAAAGTAGCCACCCTCCAGAAGGAAGGACAGTGTCAGCACCAATTCAGAGATGATTTGAGGATCTACAGCTGAGTGACACACAAATTAGATACATTTTTGTTAATAGTTGGGTACTAAGGTACTTTACGGCCCATGGCGGGATAATTCCGTCATGAAGTCTAAGGGGTTAAACAGACTCCCGGCAGCTTTTAGTCACCGGGAGTCTGTTCAGTTTTGTAAAGCCAACGGCCAGTTTTAAAGTAGAAGTGATTCTGGTGGCCCAGCTGCTGCCAGATCACTTCTACAGGCCGGTAATCGGGCCGCCCCCTGCCTTGTTTTCTGGGCTCCGCTGCCCCTCCTACAGGCCCAGGACTGGCTTGCCGGGTGTTGGCAGGAAGCTGTAGAGGAGATCAGTGAATGTCCATTCACTGACTTCCTCCCCGTACTATGGGACCAGTAGCGACGCGTATTGCATCACTTTCGGTCAATGAGCTGTCATTGCTGGGCTCCTGAAGCACAGCAATCAGCTATTGAAGTGCAATCTGCACTTCAATAGCTTATTTAGAGTGTAAAGGTGATACTAGGGGTTTTTTGGACCTACACCATCACCTTAAAGAGTACCTGTCACTGCCAATATGCTATCACATGGGGGGCTTGTAAGTCTCCCTATGTGACAGCAATTAAAGTAAAGTTTAACCAGTTGACATCCGCGGTGTTAAACCCCCTTCCCATCCAAGCCATTTTTCAGTATTCAGCGCTGCGGTACTTTGACTGACATTTATTCCGTCATGCAACGCTGTACTGAAATGAATTTTTTATCATTTTTTTGGGGACAGATAGAGCTTTCTTTTGATGGTATTTAATCACCACTGCGGGTTTTTTATTTTTTACTATATTAAGGAAAAATTACCGAAATTAAAAAAAAACTGTTCCCCCTATATTAAATGATAAAACATTTATTATTACCCAATTTTTTGGTAAAATATAAAAGACGGGGCCACGTGGGGTAAAAAGACACCAAACATGTCAAGCCTTAAAATTGCGTGCGCGCGCGAAACCTCAATGATAATACCCAAAATTGGCCATAGGCGACGTTTTAAAAGCTTTTACCGCTCATCAGTTTAGTGTTATCAGTGATTGATGGACCTAAAATGATTGCTCTCACTGCGATGTTCGCGGCGATATGTAACGTGTGTAGCGCAATTGTCGTTTTTGCGCGCTGGGGCACCGGACATGTATTTACGTTTATATCTGCGTAAACGTGGGGGTGGAGGAGTTATACATTTTGGGTTTTTTTTTTTCAAACTTTTTTTATGTGACTTTTATTTTATTTTACTTTTTTATATGTGACTTTTATTTTTTTTATTTTTTTTTATTTATATATATATTTTTTTGCACTTATTGTTATTGCTATTATATAGGGGGATAACAATCCCCCTATATAATAGCAAAGGCACACTGACAGGTCCTCTTTATGGAGACATTAGGGGTCTCTAGGACCCCTAATGTCAACTGTGGACCCCAAAAGAAGCTGATGAAGCAGAGATCTGCTTCATCAGCTTCTTTTCTCTGGCTATAGCAGCCAGATGACTGACAGGTGAATGCGGAAGTGATGTAATAAACATCACTTCTGCATTCACAGCCCGGAGGGAGGTCAGCAAGGAGCTCATATAGACGATCGGCAGGCTATAGAGCTGCCAATCGTCTATATGTGAACCACCCGGTAACGGGTGTTTGCATTGGTCGGGTCTTCTCCGCCCGTGCGCGCCCGCAGAAAAAAAATGCCGTCTGGAGACGGCAACCCGCCAATGCTGCAGTGCTCTCCGTCCGTTTTTTTACAAACCCCCCACAAAAAACAGTTTCAAAAATATTAAATAAATTAAACGTAAAAAAAATGTAAAAAAAACTGTTAAAAAAGTCCCCCGCCCCAGTGAACACGCGCGTTGTCCCGTAAACACTCGTCGGGTGAGCCTACATACGTTGGGTATCGCCGTGCACGCCAGAGTGAGCACAATAATTCTATGTGCCAATATTTACATGTATCTCTAAACTGATGACCTTTAGGGTCTTTTAAAGCGTCGTCTATGTAGTTTTTGGGGTACTAAATTCTGTTGCAGTTTCACTGATGCAAACAATTTTTTTTGGGCATTAAATTGAACTTTAGTAAATTTTTTACTACATTTTTGGGTTTGATAATAAGTTGCACTAATGCTGTGCAACAAACATTTGCAACTGCCACCATTTTATTCTATAGGGTCTTAGCTTTCAGAAAATATATAATGTTTGAGGGTTTAATGTAATTTTCAGGCCCAAAATGTGGAATATAACATGGGTGCAAAAAATGAAAAAAAGTCCTTTGTCCTTAAGGGGTCAAGATTTAACTCCTGAGTTTATTGTCACTTAAATATTAAGTTTAATGGTACTTTTTATGTTCATGTGCTGGTGACTCCTGAAATATTTATTCACTATTATTTACAAAGAGTTGAATTATCCAGCACTCTCATTCTTCTGTGTCACTACCTCTGCACACAATTCAGTAGCAAATGTACATTTCTGTGACATGTGTAGTAAACTTATCAATGTCAGTGAAATTATTTGGACACAGAATCTGATTACTTACATATTTGCAGAGTGTACTTACACTTCTATGCGATGATTGATTAGTACAGCTATAAAACTGCACATACTACTGTAAAATATTCTTTCAGAAGAGTACTCTGCACCTGAGACTGTGTAGCTTTGTTTCCATGGTAATGCCAACATGTTGTCCAAATCCTGTTTCTAGTATCCATTGCTGCCCATTTAGACTTTTCTAAATTTCCCATTTAGACTTTTCACGCCATGTACTAGTCATGCGTAAAAGGTTAGTGTGCATTTAACAGTGGTCAGTAATTATCCAACATTAGAGAAAAGCTTGAACATATCTTATCTTCCTATTGACATGCATAAAAGATATAGAAACAACAGGGACATTTATACTTAATAATTCACATTGAACAACATGCGACTTGTGCATTATGCTTGATTCACAGAACAGTAAGAGGAAAATTGAGCTAGACTTTGCATGTCTTTTTTGAATGCTGGCTCTGTAATTTAACAGGACCGGAGCTGGAGGGGTTAGAAAGAAGGTATAATAGTTTTATTTCATATTGTACTTCATATGTTTTATAAACAGATGTTTTACATAGAACATCTAACGCAGGTGTGGGCAAGTCCAGCCATCATGCATCTGGCTCTGGGAGTCATGCTTGTGGCTGCCAGAGTTTTGCAATGCCTCGTGGGACTTGTTGTTCCACAACAGCTGGAGGGCTGTTTCCCACCCTTGATCTAATGTATTAAACAAAATCTTTATTTATCCTATAGGTTGTATCCATGAAACACGTTTAACAGAACACGGTAAACTTCCTAATTAGCTTGTTGGCATTCTGTGTATAACTAGCTAAAACTGGCAATGCCCTGCTCAAATTTCAGCCGAGTCTTGTTAATTGCCTAACAGCACCCTGACAAAAATTGATTTTTCAGTTGACTTTTGTTGAAGAAGCAGGTCTAAAAATTCTCGACCAAACAGTAACCCTTCAGGTACAACCAAACAGCCAATCAGCTGCAGTCACTGTTTAGCTATCCTGACAGTGGCACATTCACCACTGTCAGAATACTGTAACGTGGTGTGTGGCACTCCCCCATCCTCTCTACTTAGTATGGATGCACCGATATCGATACATTGTATTTGGGCGAGTTCTTGTACTCGCCAAATGCTCCGCTTAGGGATGCAACGATACTGTTTTTTTGGTATCGAGTATGAATACTGATACTTTGCTTTAGGTAATCGCCAATACCGAGGACTGATACTGGTTCTTCCGCTGGCATGGAGCCGTCTTCCTGGGAAATGCTGATTGCCTAGGAAGACGGCTCCTTGTTGTTTGGCCGGCCTGATTGTGATTGGCCGGAAAACCGGCTTCCCAACCAATCAGCATCAAGCTGTCTTCTTTTCATTAAAGGAGAACTACGAAATGAGTGATTTCTAGACATGTGCACCAGCAAAAAATTAGTTTAGTTTAGTTTAGTTTTGAAAAAAAAATAAAATAATTCGTTTAATTTAGTTTCGTTTTAAAAAAAAAATTCGTTTAATTTCGTTTTTCGAGTCCGAAATTAAATTAGTTTCGGACTAAATTCGTTTATGAAAAAAAAAAAACTTTACTCTCCAATGGCTGGACTTGAACCAGCGAACTTCACAATGGCAACTACTTGCAAGCCTGTACCTCTATCCACCACTCTATAGCCTCTGTACTTTATGTATAGAAATTTCCGAAAATTCGTCCAAAACGAATTTCGGAACGAACCGAATCGCACATGTCTAGTGATTTCCACTCATCCTCCTAGTTAGAGTCGACCTGTGACAAAGAAGATGTCAGAGGTCGGCTCTATTGATCGGGAAGTGAGCAGAAACATGCCTCTGATCCGCTCACTTCCAGATCGTCTCCCTGCAGTCAGTGGTGACTGGAGGAATGAACGAAGGAGGGGCCGGGTACAGCTGGCTCTGCCTCTAGATAGGCAGAGCCAGCTGTCACTCACGCAGCTGGGTGGATCTTGACAGTATTGTCGGGATCCGTCCCGGCTGCGGCGCTGTCAGTATATAAGACTCATCTCTTCAAGGAAGCCTATCCCACCTCGACCTAACCACTGAACCTTCACATTCTCAAATAATTCATCCCCACACAGCTACCTCCTCATGTATCATTTCCCCCCTCCTCTTTCAGATTGTAAGCCCTCAGGGGCAGGGCCCTCCTTACCATCTTGTCTTGAATGGTAATGTCTTCATTATATTGTAAAGCGCTGCGCAAACTGTTGGCACTATATAAATACTATTTAATAATAATATAGCAGACAATATAGATATACTGAGCTTTGGGCCACAGGAGGAGATTAGTATATGTCCTCCTGTGACCCTAAAGAGAACTATGGGGAAAAATACTTACCCCATAGTTCTCCTTTAATGTCTTCCAGAACCTGCTGCCAGCTTCGAAGTTTAGTTAGGTGTTTTTGGGTGAGTGCTTCCTTTCTCTGTAGCTCACTTATCAGCTCTGTCACATCCTCTTTAATAACTTGCTCTGGCTGTACAGAAAGTTGTAATCTTTTCTGCAGGAAAAAAAATTCTGTTTGTCTGGCAACATCAAGGAACTTCTGAGTGCATTGTTCAATACCAGTACAAATTTCCTCCTGATCTGTCTCATTCGCATTGTCCTGGCTCACAAGAGAAGCAAAGCACGCCTCGAACGAGGACTCCAGCTTGTCCACCAGCGTATTAAATCTAATGATCTGCGCTTATAGATAATAAACTGCTAATATGGGTGATGAAGCAGCCACAAAACAGACCAAAAGGTCCCAAGAATATAAATGACGATTATGCGGCACTAGATACCCTATTAAACCTAAATAATAACAAATCTATAAGATACCTAATAATCTTAATGAATAGTGAAACAATCAATAGTGAAAAATAATCAAGATGTGCCACAAACAAACTATAATGATTGTAAAAAATGTGACCCCAGACTGGATAAACAACCATTCAGATATGTATTATCACAATGGATAATTGGTGACTTTATAATCAAACTCAATAATAAATCTTTAAAACGTGATGAATGTGATGAATGTCAATTCAAGTTCATAATTCGTCCTTCGAATCCAAACTCTAAAAAGTGCTGGTGCTTGGTGGTCCTCCCAGTGTAACACACAAAGCCCCCCCGCCAGTGCAATACATCGCATTTACACTTTACAGGTGACCTGAAGTCGGTATTGGATCAGACAGTTTTCAGCGTCTCCTCCCAGTTGTTTAGCGAATGTTGTTTCCCATATAATCAAGAAATCAAAAGGAGCTCCTCATAGTGCAGTATAACTCAAGCGTTTATTATAAACAAAGTAAAAACTAAATGGTGTATTAAAAACGACCAGTGTTTCATGAGCTCTTGTGCTCACTTCCTCATTGATTGTGACGTCAGCTAGGCCCGTCTGTCCACCAGCGTGCTGTTCCCGGGGTTCTTAGCCCTGGGCAGGGTGGAAATGAGCCCGGCAGCACCCCCGGTTGCATAGTTGGAGGGGGACCAGGCAGCTGATTGGAGGAAATCCCGCTTATTCAGCTCAGGTAGGACGCCATGACAGGGGGAGGCACAGCTCTGACTCACTACAGGCAGAACACCGCCCGAAAGTCTCTACCGGCTCGATGCACTGCTGATTGGCCGGGAGGCGGTCATTACTCGACGCCCAGCTTCCCAATCCCACGGGATTTGGCGAGTACAAGAATTCGCCCAAATAGTCAGTATCAGCACAGATACCGATACTAGTATCGATGTGGGTGCATCCCTAGCTCCGATACTTGCCCCACACCGGAACTTCCGGTCAGAGGGAGAGTTCCTCTGACCGACAGTGCAGCGAGGAAACAGGATTCATGATCTTTGGCTGGGAAGCCAGCTTCCCTGCCAATCAGCATGGAGCTGGCTTCCCGGCGAATAAGGAAGTCAGGCGGATAATTACCTGCCTCCCTGCTTCCTGATTGGCTGGGAAGCCGGCTCCATGCTGAATGGCTGGGAAGCTGGCTTCCTGGGCAATCAGCATGGAGCCAGCCCAACAGCATGGAGCCGGCTTCCCAGGCAATCAAGAAGCCGGGCAGAGGGTAATGACAAACAACCCGGCTTCATAATTGGCAGGGAAGCCGGCTCCATGCTAGCGGAATTAGCAGATATATATATCAGTACTTGTACTCGATACAGAAAAAACGGTATTGGTGCATCCCTACTATTTAGCATGGATGGAATTGAGCATTTTTTCTCAATTATCCCGTGGAGCTGAGTGAGACTAAATGCACAGTGTATCGCCAGGCTGTGCCATTTCTGCTAGGAGAGTGTCCTCTTCTGTGATCCACTTTGCAATCTGTGTAATGTGATCTCCTTGTTATTTAGGTCTGACTTACCACAGGAGCCTCTAGAAAACTGGTCTATAGTTTACACCTTGCTAACAGCTGTTTATTGAGTGATAAATATGAACATACTTGATAAAAACACCTAATGTGTTTTGAAAGCTGGAATTTTTAATTTGTTTGAGTTAGCCAGTAAATGGTTCCGGTATGAGTCCAAACTTTCTGCTTTTATCAGTTTATAACACCGTGCAATACTCAATTGTATTTATCACTTTTCAGATTCTCAAAAAATATATACTTATCAAGCATGTCATGAAGACTCTGGATCAATTTCCAATCTATTTAATTCAGTTTGTGGATCCCTAATAAACAAGATGATTGTCTTCTGTTTTTTGTTAATTTTCCAGTATCACAAAAAAAGTACTTTCAAATCAAACCAATAAGCCTGAGAACGCTGATGTAGAGATACAGTATGTCTACAATAAAGACAGCTCCCATTTCTTGGGGAATGAGTATTGGTGACTAGCGTGTAGTAAAATTGTGTTCTGTGGTAGCCCTCTAGAGGGTCAAGGAAATAATATCTGTTCTGCTGAAGTCTGAAGTGCTACAAAGAGAATTTATTGCTTTGTTAATGAGCTCTGGCAGGGAAACAGCTGTTGTACATGCTGCATTCAACCTTCACAGCTTAATGAGAACTTTGCCGCACAGCCATACCACTTTGTCCCAGGACTCTCAGCGAGTAAGGTCTATGTGCACAAATATGGAACAATAGGTACATTTGAAAGGGAATATCTACTGTGCATTTGATGGATCTTATTTTCCCTAGTACACCTCACTGGTATTAACCACTTCAAGACCAGGTGTTTAGACCCCCTTCCTGGCCAGGCCATTTTTCAGTATTCAGCGCTGCGGTACTTTCACTGACGTTTATTCCGTCATGCAACGCTGTACTGAAATGAATTTTATACCATTTTTTTGGGGACAGATAGAGCTTTATTTTGGTGGTATTTAAACACCACTGGGGTTTTATTTTTTACTATAATTAGGAAAAATTACAGAAAAGTTTGAAAAAAAAAAGTTTTTTTTAACATTATGTTAGGAAACATTTATTATTACCCAGTTTTTTGGTAAAATATAAAAGATCGGGTCACGTCGGGTAAATAGACACCAAACATGTCAAGCTTTAAAATTACGCGCACCCGCGAAATCGCAGAAAACTACCATACCCAAAATTGGCCATAGGCGACACTTTAAAAGCTTTTACCGCTCATCAGTTTAGTGTTATCAGTGATTGATGGCCCTAGACTTATTGCTCTCACTCCGACGTTCGCGGCGATATGTAACATGTGCGGCGTAATGGGCGCTATCGTCTTTTTTGCCCGTATGCGCCCCCGACGTTTGTTTGCATGTGTGTATGGATGGATGGGGACTTTACATTTTTTTTTGTTTTTTTACAGCTGGACAATCACGGGGGGGGGGGGGGGGGACAACACGCCGCCCCCCCTACAGCCGGCGGATCGCATGTATGGTAACAGGCATCGCTGCCTGTTTTTAAAAATCGGCCATTTCCCGCTCGCGTGCGCCGCTCGGGCGTGTCTGAGCGGACATTTAAAGACGCCCGCTCAGATCTAGAGACCTCTCGGCCGGCCGTTTTTCTACAACGGCCGGCCCTGAGGTGGTTAAAGCATACAGTAGCTATTCTCAGAATAATATACAGTTTTTTTGTGCTTTTATCAAGACTCTTTTTTATAAAGGAAATTCCATATTTTCCAATAAAAACTAATTTAAAGGTGCTAAGACGTGAAAATGGTTTCGCAATGCATGGCCACTTTAAGACACAAGTTAAAAAGCCCTGAAAAATGGGTTGATTTTAATTAACAAAAGGTGACAATTACCTGATCTGGCCAAAAAGGGAAAATCTTATGCCTGTGGATAACCTGCATACACACTTGACACTCTGGGAAGAACCCTTGCCTAATTGCTATTTCCCCACCTGACCACCAGTACCACAAGTTGTCTGAGTACTTTACCTCTTTCTTTCCATGGTGTAAATAGCTACAAAAGCATTACTGTTTGCCAACTGAGCCCTGCTCGTGTTTGAGTGTGAATGAAGTCAACTTCATAAAAAATTAAGCCCAAAACTAAAAGAAAAAAAGCATAATCTATCATTTGATGTCAATTAAAATGGGATGAGAATTCACTCGTGTTTTGGCCCTCCTCCTGCTTTGTATAGGTTGTAGAAAGAACAGCCTGCTCAGGTGTTTTGGAGAAGACTGGATGGATGCAGCTTGCTGCAGTACAGTATGACCTCTGTCATATAGCACCAGCATACCTACCAACATTCTTAGATGGGCAGGAGGGGCACATTGCAGCAGGAAGTAAGTAGGTAAAAGACACACCCCAGGTACGCCTCCAGTATTGTGGACCATGAGGATTATTGCGCAAAACATGATTGGTTTCACCCCACTTTGCTTTTTTCTTCACTATTTTTTCTTAATTTTGGCTTTTTAAAATAAATGAAATAATTTAACAGTTAGATAAAATGTTTAGTACAGTAAAACACTTTTAATAGTTAAATAATACATTTGTTTTAGAGATCTATACACCCGGCCAAAAAGAGGCACAACTGAGAATGAAATAGGGATAGAAGGACCTGTGAAACTGTGGAAACCTGTAACAGGGTTTTCATGATGATATAATAATGCAACCATTTGGCTAAAGGCACAAGGTATACTGTATATGCATTTGTGCATTAATTTCTCATCATAGAAAAACTCCCTGGTGAGGTTCCTGATTAGTTAAAGAGCATTATTTAAGATTTTTAGTATAATATAACCTTCTCAGGTAAGTAAGAAAGCATTGAGCAGTGGGAATCTTCACTATGAGCTGCAAATATTTGCAAAGCTAAATTATCTTATCGAGAATCAGCTCCTACTTTTATTAGGCTTGGTTCACACAGTTGCAGTGCATTAAGTGAATGGAACTTAGTTTGGGCCTCTGGCCACAGATTGTTGCCCAGAATAGAGGAAAAAATGGCAACAGGTCCATCTTCCAAGATCCCTAAATGATGTAGCTTAGCACAAAGTGATTTTCACAAATATATTTAAGACAGAATATATCCATGGAAATCCTTCATTTTTAGGGATAAGTTAAAAGATTTAGCTAAATCCTAAAGTATTAATAATATTCTTAATAATTGATTTCTTAATAATGCACGTTCCTGTTAGCTCCAGGGATAAAAGGCTTAGGAAATTGTAGAGCTATAGTTCACCACTAAAATCAATATGGGGATCCCCATTGGCACGGGAAAGTACTGCGCAGGCATGGCCAGGAGAATAAAAATTAAAAAAACAACCGAAATCGGGCCTGTCGAAACTTGTCGAAAGTATTTATCTGTGCAAGGGGAGGAAGGGAGCAATGATGTTACCTTAAAGGGGCCTAAAGAATAAGTGCACTTTTCCTTTAACACTAACCAAATTATTTTAAATTGACCGTTAATATAAACTTAACTGTAAGCTCGTAAGACTAAAGCCCAAAACCTTAAATATCAGGACAAAATATTATTTATCTGTAGGCAAAAACCTTCCAACCGACATTGTTCGTGATTTTATCCCCCTGTAAAGGGAAACACTGACAAACACAAAGAGGGCACATGGGAGCTTGCTTTCCTGGTGAAGATCCTGTCAGGAAAGGGGAAGATTCCAGAAATGGTGATAGATATATAAGGATCGCCATCCAACACTATGGGCATTCACCTTTCCCTTGGATTTCTGACGTCCAATGATAGGTAAACGCAACATCACTCTCTGCCCAGTTCCCCCCTCAGGAAAACTGTCTATTGACTTACTCTGCCTAGTGACCTTTCGACCCGAAAGATAAAAAGAGGTAGCAACCACGGTGCCACAGAATTAGGTCCCCTATTCCCCATATACATTTTCATTATATTCCTGTGTATTATAATTTGTTATAAATATAAGATTTGGAAGGCAATATTAAAGGAGAGGGGGGGTCCGGCAGTCCTCTGTGACGACAGACTTAGTTTCTTTGGTCTTCCAAGAGACTAGTACAAACAGAAAACTATCTCACTTTTTCTTTTTTTGATATAAATAAGATAAATGGGTACAAGTCTGTGTGTGACAACAGTTGTAGGATTCAACATTGCTGCAGTGAAAGGAAATGTGGGAAATCCTCCTTAAAGCCATGTGCTGTCTAATACCTAAAGCAGTGTTTCTCAAACATTTTTCAGTCAGGGCACCCTTTTCAAGTATGCACAATCTCAAGGCACTCCAGTCTAAAATGTAATAGATTTTAAGGGGGGCTACATGCAAAAACGCATAA